CACATGCTATAATAATTCCCTGTTTAAATGTAAGAAATTCTGGGACCCATTTTTTTAAAAAGTTGTTACAAGCTATCTTTTGGTTTTTAAGAACTCTTCAATCATATATTTATTCACTTTGCCGAAGTACCAAAAAAAATTTAAAAAGGCAAAGACACTTTGAAAAAAGATTCTTTGAAATAGCAAAGTATAAAATATGGTGAAAATGTTGAAAGGTATTTTATTACCATAAGCTGTAGTAAACTTGAATTTAGCTTACAGTGACCTAAATTAAATACAGAAGCTTAGTCAATATTTCCTCTGACAGGCTTAATGAAAATACAGTTTTTCAGCAAGCTTAATAAAAAGAATCAAACAAAAGAATGCATGTTAATGGGAAATGATCCTCCGCTAATGATTTTCTTTAAAAAAAAAAAGAAACTTTCTACAAAGCATAAACAAGGCAGAAAGGACACACAGACACACATCTGTCACATGTTTGCCGCTTTATAGTTACTGCTTTAAGAAAGGATGTGAGTTATGAAGTGAGTCCTTTTGTAAACATTCTAATAAAGTCGGGGTAAGATGTACAAGGCATCAGGACTTCAAGCTGCTGTTCTCTAAATAATGCTAAGAATTTTGTGGAAGTCTCCAACTTCCATGCATAAATTGTTACATCAACTTAAAACACAACTGCTTCTAGTTCTTTTTTTCCTTTCTTGCTTCACCGTTTTTTAAAACCTTTTGAGAACTCCTGCTTTATTTTTCCATTTTACAGAGGTGAGAACACTGCAGTGAGAAATCTATATTTTACGAGACGCCCATGCTTTTTGGAGAAAGAGGTCAGTACATTTAATTTCTGAGCCCTAATTCTTTCTCCCTTTCTAAAACTTCGAATTTTTAGCTCCGTGGAGGTTAGCAAAGATGACGTGTGCCCGAGCACATTCTAGGCATTTGTTCTGGGGGAGGAGGTTGGCAAAAGGGACACAGAAGAGCCAATAACCTCTGATTTCTTTATTAACATAGTCTTAAAACCAAAAAAACAATAGATTTTACAAGTGAAGAACACACTGTAGAATATCTCCTCTTGTTCTCGCCTATCTTTTCTACTGAATATTTTTGAATCAAGTCATTTCAACCCTTTGGGATTCATTTCCACAAAGCTGTTTAAAGAACTTACATTCTTTCCTATCTCCTGGACAGTAGCATTGCTAGTTCAACCGCATTCCTGCTAACGCTGATGACTTCAGTAGCTTATTTCTATTATTTAATTCTAATCTAATATTGACTCCTGAAAAAGAAACTGTTAAAAATTATAAACTTTTTTCCCACTGGTTAAAGAAAAATATATTCTCCTTTGTTTCTTAAAGTATTTAAGAGAGAAAAAAAATTGTGAAATCAAGAGAAAATCTGAAACTGAGGTTAAAAAAATTGACTGAAGTAAAATGAACACATTATTACCAAAGGATTGATTGTTAGCAAGCTTTGTTTCTTAACTATTTACAGTGTTCCTTGTTGAAAGCAACAAAGAAATAGAAACATGACAAAAATTAATAAAAAAAAAACAAATACTACAGATTAAGCATATTGACTCATGTAGAGTGTGAAACTCTAATCGACTTCCTAAGACAATCTAATTAGTGTTTACTATTATTTTATAAGAATTCTTATTCCTTAAATTCAACATTAAATTTAGTCTGTGAATCTAGCATCATGAATTTATTTCTACATTCTACAATAGGAATTGCCTGTGGATGAGAATGACTACTGCAAGGCTAGATGTTAAAAAAAGAAAAATAGGAAAAGCAAATAATTTGAGATTATAGATGTTATAAGAATATTTTATTTGTACTTGTCTTTCTATGAACAACACCCAGCAACTTTGGGACCCTCCGCCTTTTTAACTATATGCATTTATGCATGTGTGACAACAAAATATGTTCCAATAAAACATTTTTTAACTAGCAAAGCAAAATTGCTTTAAGCTTTTGATCTGCCTCATAGCTCCCATCCCTGAAAGTCATTCCCTCTCAAGAGTTACATTCAAAAAGTCTAAGATATACAGCTGATGATTCAAGCTGAATGACACAACGATAAACTATGGTTTCTCCTGAAGATAAAATACGTCATAAATCGGTGCAACACTTACCTCATTTTAAATATTACTGTCTCCTTTTATCAGGTAACACTATATGACCTCCTCTTACCTTCCCTCTTCCCATATTTTACATGGGATTTTAATTCTATACAATGATCACAACCAGAATTTTTTTAATTAAAATAGGATATATGGCTTTAAAGGCTTAGGTTATCTGATAGACAGATTTAATTTAAAATTAAAAAAAATAACGAGGACGGACTGACTTCTGATGCCCTATAAAATATGGCAATAACAGAATTATACCAATTCTTAAATTGCAATAACTCTTTATACTTAGCTGCAATTTATCACATGATCTAAAATGATAGGCAGCATGGTTTCATAAAATGGAAATGCATTCACAGCTAGATGGCAAAGAGATGTTTTTGCAGGGAGTATATGACAACATAATATGTCTTTATTCCTCATTAAAATGCCCATCCATGAATTACAGTGGCCCTATCAACACTGTATTTCCAGTGGACTGCTTGATTTGTACTGTCTAGTTTCTAGCCAGAAGTTAGCCCTTTTCTGGATACTCAAATCTGGATTACTCTCCCAAAACTATTAAATGTGTTACATATGCTAATAGAAATCCTGATGAGAATCTGCACAGCTTTGGACTGTACCGTCCATCCTCCCAGGCCTGTTAAGAGGCAGGTTTTCTTCCTTGGCTAAAAATAAAGGGAAAGGAGTCTCTCCTGGTCAGGAGGGTGCTTCTGGTCTGGGAGGGATGTTCCAGAAGGCACAGACAGTGGGGCAACCTGGCCTCTTGGCCCCTTTCCTAACCCAGCCGCCCCAGAGCAGACACTGTGAGGCCCTTCCAGATTCATCCGTCTTGTCTATGACTGGGAACATCAGTCACAAAGGTTTTTTCCCATTTTCCAGTAGCTGTTATCTGAAACTGGAAATAAGAATCGTGACCTGTGGACTCAGTCCCCTGAATCATGCCTCCAAATGACTCTGTCTTCTTCCAAAATACCTCAGACAGAAGCCACTTAATGAACTCTGAGCTATATTCTTTCATCAGAAGGTCTGTGGCCTCTGTAATCTCATGATTCTGTCACCCCCTAAAATTTAGAGATTCCCAACCCAGCTGAAAATTCTTGATTGACTCAATCAATCCTGTTTCAATTATTGTGCTTTGTGTTAGCCACTCAAGGACTCTACTATTTGAGAACTTTACATACATGTAAGTAAATGACAGATGCTATCTTCATATAATATGAAAAAGAAGTATCCAATAAAAGGCCTTTTATACAATCCTGTTGATTTTGCAGGTTTCCACTTAGGGCCTGCTTTGTGAGGGCTTTCACGTAGGCTGATAGTTTTGCGTACATCCCACTGTTTCACCACCCCGGGCTCTGTGGAGCCAGGCCATGCCTTTGTGACGCACACTGCCTTGAGTTGACATGGGGTTAATAGTGCAATCTGTAACCTTGAAACGGAATGAAGCCAATTAGTCCCGACGCACTCTCCCAATGGTTTTCCAACCCCATAATCCTGAAACCTCGACTTTAGCCTAAATGGTAAATACTGCCAGCTTTCCTTCTCCCAAACTCTAAAAAACATTCTTTCTACACTATAGCTTCTTCTTCTTTCTTGTTGCCTCCCAAAATTAATGTCCTTCCCCTCCACAGGTAGACCTCTCCGCCTGTGCCTAATTCCTCCTCTTCTTGTCTCCCCATACACTGCACAGCATCTTTTATCTGTTCTTGTTCTCACCCTGGACTCCTTTTAATGTCTTAAATGGCACATGTATCCAGTTGGGGAAAAATTACTTCATGTCTCCCTACCACATTCCTCCAACTATTTTTTCATTTCTGTCCTTTTCCTTGCTATAAACTTCCCAAGCACTCATTCTTCTTCTAGTGCCCATAATCCACACATCATCAATTACTTGTTTCATGTCTATCTTCTCAAAAGAGCTGTAAGCTCCATAACAGCAGAGATTAAGTTGTCTTGTTCCCGGCTTGTACAAGCTCAAGGCCTAATACAGTTTCTGGCACATAGTAAACATTCAAAAATAGTAATGAGATTGGATTATTTTATTTTAATTAGTGCTTTTTTCCCCTTACCTCTTTCACCATAATTCTTGAATATCTGGTTTCCACCCTCCACTCTCATGAAAATATACACTTATCCAAAACTTTACGGTTTTTGAGATGCTAGAAGCAAGGTGGAATAGACAAAACCATTGGACAGAGAAGATGAGTAAAAGGGTGGGGTGGGGGGAAGGAGAGGGAGAAAGAGATGAAACCACCAATAATTTGGCAAAAAAAACCTAACATTTCAAAACATGAAGAAACATAATAAAAATATATGGTTTTACCATCTCAAGAATTACTGCACTATTTCAGCTATTACTTATATACAAATCAATACATCAAAATAACATTTTTCTCAGCCTTCATCATTTTTGACCCTTACGAGTCCGATGCTGATGAGGCCACTCTTTTTGGGGAACCTCCTACAAACCGGTTCACCTCACAGTCTGGTTGCTGAGACAGTTTCTCAGCCTCGTTCCTCCAACCTCCCTAAATCAACCCCACCACCTACACCCACACTCCTTACCTGGAATGTTGTATTAGACTCCAATCTCTCCCATCTCAAGTCACACTGAACATTATAAGGAGGCTAATATCCCCTGTTCAAAAGATTCCAAAGCTTCTCACTGCTTGTATTATTAAATCTTAACTCCTCATCCTGGCATTCAAGGACCTTTATAATCTGTATCTTAATCTCTCCAAACATACCTCCCAAATTATTGAAAGTCAAACTGATCCATCACAAATGTCTTACATTTTTCCCCTAGGACCTTTGCTTCATGCCAGTTGCCCCTTCCTTTCAGTATAGCCAAATATTATTCATCTTCTTTTTTTTTTTCAAAAATTGCACCAAGGCAAAGCAGAGCTCTAGTTGATGCAAGTGTGTTATTTAGGTATTAACAGCCCTGCACTCATACTACCTGCTCACTGGACAACAGTGCAACCAGAGAAAAGGGTGGTTATCATTCACTTTTTAATATTCAGTGCAGATTACTCTTTCTTCTTTAAGGCCCGACAAAAAATTCCAAGTATGATGATGTCCATTTGAATCACCATTTTGGAAACTAATCACGTACTTAATCATTGATTTTATTTTATTCTGTTAGATTGGGAATAGCTTTGTAATACATTTTCAGCATTCAAATTCTAAGGGGTACAAAAGTACATACAGAAAGCATCTTTCTCCTAACCCCACCCTTCAGCCAGCTAGCTTGCCACTTGACCGCCACCACTGTATCAGCTTCTTGTGTGTCCTTCTAGAGATATTTTATTGGAAGCAAATGAAATGTATTGGTTTTTAAATATGTTTAGCATTTTATATCAAACAAAATGTACGTTTATTTCCTTCATATATATTGAACACTTTATGTACTTAAATATTGTCTGCCTAGTTATAGAGACTATATACCTTGGCTTCTTTATAGAAGTGTCTGTCACAAATGTTCCTCAACTGATTTTGAAATTTTTTCTTTCAAGTTTGGAACAGACTATTCCATGGTAAGAATGAATCTCTACTGCCTTCCTCCTCAATTAAGAAGGATTAAAAAGTGAATGGTGGTTTTTTTTTTTTAAACACTTCCTCCCCATCCACAGCCTTTAAAAGAAAATTAAAGCACAACTAATCACTTATGCAGATGTGCGTTGTTTTACTGCCATAGTTTAATGTGTTCCAGATAAGGCACATATTACCCTGTTTCCTCTGGTTCTGATACATATGTTGATACTAAGATGAACAGAATCACTGATTTGTAATGGGCGATTCTGTTTCATTTTAGCAATCTCCCATTTCTGCAACATTCCAAGTTTGCTGAATGTGTGTTTGCACGGAAAGTTTGTTTCATAATTACGTCCATCCCACTTCACCTTGCACATATTAGAAATGACACGGCGCCCACCCACCTCGTTACTGCTTCCCAAGTGCCCTATCGTTTCCTATAGTTATTTTAAACATATACACCAAACTCTGAAGTGATAAAGCCCGGAGATGTTTTTCTAATTTAAAGTTATAAAATAATACCTAAGAGCCAAGCATGGGAATCGATATAATTTTCATTCGTAGTTAAACATAGGACCTTAAATATTACCAGTACACAGTAAAGTACATGTTTGTAATCAAACGGTTTATTTGATCAATAGAGAGCCAAAGCAGATAAGCTAAATCCCTCAAAATGTATTAGTTAAGAGTCTTTAACTATCAGATTGGTTCTTTTTAATGCCTCAAGTTTACTGGAAAAATGCCAGATATTTCCTTAACATCACACTATGCAAAACAGAATCATAATGTATATACTCCATGTGTGACCCTTGAATTACAATATTCTTTCTGATTAGTCTTGTATTTAAATCAATACTCAGGGTTTAATTTTTCATTGTAAAGGCCCAATTTTTGTTAATAAAAATATCTTGAACCAATAAATAAAATTTGATTTTCAAAAAGTTAATCTAGATTATTTTTATCTACACCAGCACTCATACTTTTAAAAATTAGAATTTGTTTTCTTGGAACTCAATGAAAAATGCTAGTATTTAAGTATATGAATTTTAGTAACTCATTAAATCTCCAGAATTACAACATAGTTCTTGTTTATGTTATTTTCTTAATGGCGTATTCCTTTCCAACTAAACACACAGACAAATAATATTTTCACAAGTTCACTTTTATTCCTAAGGGCATTTCACTTAGCCCAGTCTCATAAATAGAAAATTCATAGTAAACTACAAAACATTAAGGTGTGAATGAAATTAAGTAGGCTCCAATAATTCCGATCCATCACAAAGACTGGGGTTTTTTTAATCCTCAATTTTGATACATTTTGTTTGGGATTATATGTCAAACTTTGTATGTACATTATCATCAGTGGTTTGAATATAGCAGCTAAGAAATTAAGTAACATTTAACAGTTAAATATATTGCTCAAGTGAGATGTTAAGACACTGTTAAGGTAGGTTGGAAGCACTTAGTTTTAAAAGGCATGATATATAGCGAGGGAAGTAAGTGTACCCAAATAATTACGCTGTCTTTGAAAAAGTGGCCTCTTTATAAGTAGAGTAGCCAATAAGACTGGGGTAGTAGTTGTCAAATTTACAGGAAGTGATTAAAGAAGCAGAGAGTCTCTTCTTTTACTAGCTGTTTCTGGATTACATAGAGATTATGAAGAGAGACAAGAAAAATGACAGACCAACCTGAACAGCCCATCAAACTTTCTACTAAGAAAATTATTTTCCTCCATAAGTAAACTTTGCAGTTAACAAACACCTATTGCTTTTATTTTACATTGATTGTGATTTTACACATAAAAAATATTTGATTTCTACATTTTAACAAAAGCACAGGGATGTTTATTCCCCAAGAGACTTGTTTCTTATTTCACCAGCATTTTGTAATCTTCTCCATCTTCAGTTCTTTTGGTTTGCTGCCATCTGGCATTCTGCCTTTGATTTTATGAATAAAGTCCCCAATTGTTTCTGCAGCTGTTATCAGTGCAGTCTGACCTGTTGCAAATGAGGAAAACAGAAAACAATATCTCCATGGCTTACACAACATTTCATCCCTGTGGCTCTCTTCCCAGGCCCCGCATTGTGGTTACCTAGTGCACATTCCTCAACACAGATGCTGACATTACTAGACCCTTGGTACAGGAAGATATAAAAGTGAGTCCCTTCCAGTAATCATCCTTTATAAACATTTTCATGAATCTATGAATATGGGATCTATTAATCCTATTCACATAATATCTGACTGTTCTCATTCATGAGCAAAATAATGCTTCTGATTATATAATGTCTCTCTCCTTCCAGCTGTGTCCTTTGTCTGCAGTGATGTCTGTATCCTCCATGCTGACTTCATGCAATGTCACAACTTTCAAATTGTGCTCCCAGGAGCCTGAGGGGGGGGAGACATAAACATGTTGAGGGGGGTGAGCTGCTCCTGGCCTAGTTCTCCACTACAGACCCATCTCCCTCTTTTCCACCGGGGCAGTTTTTTTTTTTTTTTTTCATTTCATGTATCGGGCCTCCTGGTAACATTCCATTTGAAACACAGGTTTCCTACAAATTGTGAGGTTAACTGAGTTCACTCACTCCTAGGGCAGGCCCAGGCTACTTCAGGCCATAGTTAGATGAGATATTAGTGTAGCCAAAAGTGTCTTTATTAGCAACCTTCCCCCAAACATCTGCCCTTGTGGCAAAGCCACCTAGAATTCCCACTTTCAGTGACACCTCTTTTATGGCATTGAAAACATCAATTTCTGGGGATCTATAATAAATTGGACAGGAGAACCCATTAAGCCATCCATTGGCACATTCATACAAGTAAGTTTATTTATTAATTCTTGGACCTGGAAGAAAATAAACTAGTAAGTTTTACTGGGGGTGGAAGGTGGGGATAGAGAAATGTTTTCCAGGTCACCACTTCAGGGAACTCTAAGTTACTCTGTCACTGGGAAGTGAAGGAGACAAAAAGAAAAGCCACAGAACCCTGAGCAGCAGAGGACAGTGACAAGAAACCTAGGCTCTGAAAGTTTCACCATGAGAGTGAAGGCCGGATGCCGAGTAGAGGGTGGGGCAGCCCTTGCCTGGTCCTCCCCCTTGAGCGGCAGCGCTCCTACCTCCAAAGCAAAAGAGAGTTTCTTTTTCTCATGAGTCCCTTATTCTTCTGACCATGTCAACTATAAATATTTTTGCTTTTATCGAATTTTACTCTTAAGGGATTGTCTGTTGCCACCAATGCCAAAAATAATGCCTAACATATATTTACCCTGACTTCTGTCTCTTTCATAAAACATGTTGTCCACTGTTCTCCGAACTCAGGCAATAACATTCTCAAATCGATGCACAAAAATGTGTTATATACATTGCCGCCTAGTGCCCCTATTTTTTTTTTACATAGGAAGTTATTCATCTAGGGTACAAAGGTAAAATGTAATACCATAAATTCTCTAATTATATTTCCCTGCAGCAAGGTATGGGCAAAGTACTTAACTCCCATAATTTGTAGAATAAATGAGGAAAGGGCCTACTGGGTCTAGTTTTTACATTACGTTAAAGTGATAAGTAAAATTGAGTTATAGCTATGACTCACTATGTGTAAGTTATTATTCCACGTCTCCAGGCCTGCACTGAAGGAATTTTTCCTTTAAGCACACCTCTGAACACACAGTGATTCTGTGCTTCTGAACGGAGAGTGATCCCTGGTTAATTCTAAAGCCAAGTTTGCAGGCAGCTTCGCTTTACAAAGGAAGACGGCGACAAGACTGGATTTCAGAAATACCGCGTGAAGTTCCAGTCAATGTCAACTTCGGGTGCGAGCGGGAGCCAAAGAGGGGGAGACTGGTGGCAGAGAAGTTTAATGAAATGAAATCAGAACTTTTCCAAGACTATTCTTACCAGTGGTCCCCACATTTGCCTATGAAATTTTCAGATACACATAGTAATATTGTCACCTAATCCTTTATGGTTGAAAAAGTGCTTTCACATGCATGTTCCCTTTTCGGCAGGCTGGGACTCCTGGGCACTCCTAAACTCAACAGGAAGTTATCCAGGATGCTACTGAAGGCGGAAGACGGCCGGTGGGCGCCCACGCCCTTCAGGCACCACCTCTCTGGGAAGGAACCGCGCCGTGCCTCCAGGTGCGCAGGTCCCACAGCTGTGCCTGTGTTCGCGCGCACACGACGTCTAGTGCGTGTAGCCTAGTCACGACCCAAGGAAGGTACCTTCCTGCAGGTAAGAGCTTTCTCTCCCGCAGTCTACTGTTCGCCTCCTTCCTGGTCCCGCAGAAGCCAGCCCGAAGCGCACCTTTCTGAAGCTCGCAGCGCTACCCAGGGTGCAGACATGGATGTCTTGCTGACATCTTTGGCCATTCCTTTGATGATGAAACAAAATCAAGCCTGCTCTCCGCTCTTTGATGTGCGGCTGCGTCCAGGGTGTTAGGGCTGCTCAGAGCCCGAGGCGTCCGCGACGAT